TGGAGCCTCAGCTTCAGGATCTGTCCTTCCAGTGAGCACTCAGGGTTGATTTCCTTCAAAATGGACAGGTTTGTTCTCTTTGCAGTCCAGGGGACTCTCAGGTGTCTCCTCCAGTACCACAATTCAAAAGCAAAAAGTAAGTGTGCTACTTATATCCCGCCCCGTAGTGCTTCAAGCGCTCTCTGGGCGGTTTACAAGTTAATTATGCAGGCTGCACACTGCCCCCCCCTAGTGAGCTGGGTACTCATTTTATCGACCTTGGAAGGATAGAAGGCTGACTCAACCTTGAGCCGGCTACCTGGGACTGAAACCCCAGATCGTGAACACAGTTTTGGCTGCAGTACAGCAGTTTAACCACTGCGCCACGAAGCATCAAATCTTCAGCGGTCAGCCTTCTTTATGGTCCAGCTTTCACTTCCATACAGGAAAAACCATACCTTTGACTTTGCGGACTTTTGTTGGCAAAGTGATGTCTCTGCTTTTTAAGCTGTAGTCCAGGTTTGTCATCGTTTTCCTCCCAAGAAGCAGGGGTCTTTTAATTTTGTGGCTGCTGTCACCATCTGCAGTGATCATAGGTAAAGGTAAAGGTAATTTTGTGGCAAGAAAGTAAAATCTGTCACTGCCTCCATATCTTCCCCTTCTATTTGCCAGGAGGTGATGGGACCAGTGGCCATGATCTTTGTGTTTTTTTTATGCTGAGCTTCAGACCATTTTTTGCACTCTCCTCTTTCACCCTCATTAAGAGGTTCTTTAATTCCTCCTCACTTTCTGCCAAAAGAGTGGTATCATCTGCATGTCTGAGGTTGTTGATATTTCTTCCAGCAATCTTAATTCTGGCTTGGGATTCATCCAGTCCAGCCTTCCGCATGATGTATTCTGCATATAAGTTAAATAAGCAGGGGGACAATATACAGCCTTGTCGTACTCCTTTCCCAATTTTGAACCAATCAGTTGTTCCATATCCAGTTCTAACTGTTGCTTCCTGTCTCACGTATAGATTTCTCAGGAGATAGATAAGGTGGTCAGGCACTCCAGCTTCTTTAAGAACTTTCCATAGTTTGCTGTGGTCCACACAGTCAAAGGCTTTTGCATAGTCAATGAAGCAGAAGTAGATGTTTTTCTGGAACTTTCTGGCTTTCTCCATCATCCAGAGCATGTTAGCAATTTGGGTATTATTATGTGTACCATGCTTGGTAGATGCATTGTTATCTCACTATACTGTGCCCCGCTTGACGATTACCTTGTTAGACGAGGAAATTGCTTTACAATGAAGTTTTTGCAATTGCTTTTGCAATTGCAAAACAATGTTTTAATAGGGAAAAACCGCTTTACGACAATCGGTTCCCTGCTTTGGGAACCGATTTTTCGCTTAACGATGATCTTTACAGCTGATCGTTGGGTCTTCAAAATGGCTGCCCGCTGTGCAAAATGACTCCCCACTGTGTTTTAGGACAGATTCCTCGCATTACAGGCACTGGAAAATGGCCACCCTATGTAGGATCTTCGCTGGACTCTGAGGTATTTCACCCACTGGAATGCATTGAGCCAGTTTTCAATGCATTTCAAAGGGATTTTTACTTTCGCTTGACGACGATTTCATTCTACAGCGATTTTGCTGGAACAGATTATCCTCGTCAAGCGAGGCACCACTGTATCATAGATATAAATCTGCCATGGTTCTAACACCCATGAAAACCCATTCAAGGCAATGCAATCCATTACGACTAAACATTTAAAGTTTCAGACTACTCCATTTATAAAAACACTTTTCTATAGAAAAATAACATTTAAAGATACTTAACAGTCTAAGAATAGTGAACATAAAAAATCTGAATAGTAATTTTGCAAAACACATCAGCATTCACATCATAATGATTCTATAGTGGGATCATCCCATAACCCATCTGTTACTCTTTTCCCTTACTTTCAAGTAACACTTGCAGGAATAGCCTCATCTCTGGTCACATGTGGTTTTAAACTATCACAATGATAAACCTTTGGCTTAAGGTCACTTCCCGATCTTTCAAATGAGTAATTCACAGCACTAAGTTTCTTCGTCACAAACAGACCTTCCCACATTACTTGGAGTTTAGGTCCAACATGTTTCTCCCCAAATTGAAATCACAATCTTGTTTTTTGCATTGTGGTAAGCTTTTTTTGTACTGTGCATCTTCCAGGCTCTCCCTAGCTACTTCTTGGATGTACTTCAGCTTCTGCTAAAGCTGATTCATAAACTGAGCCACAGAGATGGGACTTCTTATTTACACAAACACACACAGAAAACGAAGCTCACCATGACCTGCTGAATGATGGCCACGGGAAAAGGCAGGGAAGAAGATGGGAAGGAGAGTATTATTAATTGAACGACGGACAAATTAGAGTGATCCAAAGACCTGTCTGAAGCCTTCTCACAGGAGAAAAAAATTGATTGTGTGAATGGAAGGATCACTCAAGCGATCTATTGTTTGCACTAAGAATCATTTAGGTGTGAACCAGGTCACTCCAACATGGAGTGGCCTGGTTCAACACCAGAAATGTGTTGTCATCTAATGTGGCCCGGCCAGGCTCTAAAAGGCTGAAAATCTCTGGTGGAGATCACAAGACACATAGCTGATGCCTTTCTGTGAATACACAACAGAAGCCATGTCTATCAGGGAGCCTCCTCTTTTGCTTGGGGATATAGTTTCCTTTTAGTTGTTTTCCCATGGGGGAGGCTAAACATGTTGAGAACAAATAAAGAAATCGAAAGCATGGGCATGGGTTGCTGCTGAGGATGGCTTGGGCCATCTGCCATCCACCCCTTTTCATTGTTTGGTGGCTATGAATTCCCAAGTGAGCTCTTGGTCCTACCCTTCTTGTAGGCTATATTGTAGGTATCACAATGGTAGAGCACATCAGGTATATGTTGCCATCTAAGGTGGCAAACCAGGTTATGGTAAGTTGAGAATCTTTGGTGAAGACTGCAGCTTATGTAGCTTAGATAGCCCTTTTGAGGGTAGATGACAGAGTCACTTTTTTGTGGCGGGAGGTTCTCTTGCTTGGGGGCATATTTTCCTTTTTTTCTACTTTTCTTAGTAGTTTTTCCAGACATGGTCTGTATTTGTGAAGTGGCCTGACAAGTATGTGTGGCTAGACCATTTGTGGAAATACAGGGGGATAGCTTACTGTGGCCATAGTCTAGTTAGGCAGGTGTATTGGTCTCAGAATCCTTCCCCATTTTACCAGAATCCCAGGAGGCAGATGAACTGCTCTTGGGCAGGAGTGAGGTCCTTTTGCCTATTAGGTGCCTTGTTCTTCTGAAAGGGTCCTCAGCATCCAGATTATTTCTGCCATTCATCTTTCTTCCTTTGGGGAGAGACTGAACCCACTATAGACTTTCATGAGACATGCAAATGATTATCCTATATATTTCAGCCAGTATATATGGCTGTGAACATTGAGATCAGAAGGAAATTAAATGTGGAAAGGTTGCTTACGACACTGTTCATCATCAGGTATTACTGCAAAAACGTTCTAATCTAACTAAGGATTACAGGCTCGAAAAACTGCAGAATTTTCATTAACTTTGAAGGATAACACAGTTGATGAAGGACACAAAAGAACGACCTACCCCCAGGCAGTGTACTGGCTCCTGTTTTGTTTAACATCTATATCAAATAGATGTTAACCACAAGTTAATATACCATACCAGTGTGACATAGTTCAGCCCATACAAAACAGTTAGATCTAACATTCAATGAAGGCTCTAGAATCATTACTGGATGTCTGAAGCCAACCCTACTGATAAAATCAGTTAGCAGACACTGCACCAAGTGACATATGGAGAGAGGTAGCAGCAAATAGTGAAAGACTGAAAGCATCTATATCAAATGTTCACAGACTGTTTGCTAGCCTGCCCCTCCCACATTAAGATCTGGGTAAAGTGGTAGGGGGTTTTGTTTGTTTGTTTTGTTTTAAAGAAGGAAGGAGACTGTCAAGCACATTTTGAAAGACAAAAATGAATAGCATGGGATACACTTATCACATGGGCTAATAATAACAATTCTAAAAACCAGAGGGAAGATGACCAGGAAGCTGCATTCTATGTCCAGTATCACACTGTGATTTTTTCCCACTCTTATGTGTAATTATACTGACATTCACCTCTGCCATATTAGCTGAAATATTAGCTAAAGTCTATGAATAATTCTAAGATGTCAAGATTATTTATATTCCTGACCTGATCTTGGAAAGAAGTTCTCCGCGTTCCGCACAATCTACACTGACTTGTCGGATGATTTCATGAAATACTACATTGTAGATGTTCTGTTCTACTTTCAGTATTTCTAAGACATTATGCATCTTTGGGAAAACACAAGAAAGAAGTTATAGTTGTTGCAAAACTGGAGAGAAAATTATTACTTGATGGCTGAAATTCAATAATGTAGTGGTTCTCAACCCTCGGTTCCCAGATGTTCTTGGTCTAAAACTCCCAGAAGCCTTCACTATTAGGTATACTAAAACTCTCAGAAGCCTTCACCATTAGGTATACAGGATTTCTGGGAGTCATGGTCCAAGAATATCTGGGGACCCAAGACTGGGAACCACTGCAAATAGTGGAACTTCCACCATGTAAGGCTGATGATGTCATTAACCATGGCAGATTTTTGTGGTTTTTTTCCCTGTAAATTAAAATAATTTCCAATCTCCCCTAGGATCCTTTTTGTCCATGAGAAGTGGTTGGGGGCCACAGAATGGGGTGTGTCTTTAGTTTCCAAAACTCACTGCCGCCTGTATTTTTCTTTATTCTGTTTTTTGTTTGCTCTGGTAAAAATGTTTAGGAACTGGATGTGTATTCTACCATAAGCTGCTAATTTCATATGGTATGGCCAATTGTCCACAGAAAAAACTAATAATTGAAAAACAAATGCCTAATAGCAAGACAAGAAGATATTATCAAGGTTAAGAATTACTACCTGTGAAATTCCTGTTACTCCAGTATCTTCAATATCTGCTCCAGCCTTTTCCAGCATGGTGTCCATAACCTTCATCAGCTGCAGGACTTCCAGCCTTCCAGATGGCTTCCTAATGGAGCAGAACACAAAGACTGTACCATTTCTACAATAGACTTGGGTAACTACGTGCCCTCAGATATTTTCAGCTTCAACTCCCAGAAGTTCCAAACAACCTGGTCAACGTCAAGGGCCTCTGGGAGCTATAGTCTGAAACATCTAGAATGCCCTGTTCTACATTATACACAAAAATGTAACACATTTTAATTTGGTATTACTCACATGGATGGGAAAACTCGTAGCCTTTTTTCCTCATCTTCCAGTAGAGTTGTGTATTTACTGAAACAGATTTTAAAAATTAAACTATTTGTTAAGTGCTTTTGACTGCAGAATTCAACAGTCCATTTTTTAAAATTTTATTTTGTGATTTTAAAAATACATTTAGTAAGAGACACAAGCATTCTGTTACAGATGACAGACCATAATTCTATTACAAAAGACTGTCTTGTAAAATGTGAGTGGACAAAAGCATGGCAATGCTATGCTAAAAGTGTTTGTGGAAGCACTTTTAGGTAAAAAAAAGTTTGTTTATTTATTAGATTGATAGCCCACACCATCTGGCAGCCAGGCCACTCTGGGCAGCTAACAACAACAAGACCAACACAATATTAAAACACAATAAGAATAAAATAATACAAACATTCAACAGATTCTAGTAGGATAAAATAAAACAGATGGCTATAAAGATGGTAGAAAGGATGATGAAAGGATGCCAAAAAGGATGATAAAAGGGAAGCAGAGATATCAGCAACTTAATGTTCAGGGAAAGCCTGATGGAAGAGCCAAGTTTTCAATGCTCATTTAAACCCATACAACGAGGGTGCCAGGCGTATCTCCAAGGGCAGATTGTTCCATAGGTGGGGGACGACTGCCGAGAAGGCCCAGCTTCTTGTTCTTTCTTTCTGGGCCTCCTTCGGGGTCCATTCCCCTCATATTTTCCTCAACTCAACTCCAATATTGTTGAACTTATACTAGGAAAAAAAATAAGCTGGTAAGGCTGGAATAGGTGAGCTAAGCTAAAAGGAAAAGTGTTAGATCAGAGCAGAACTTGGAAACGGTTTGGGGACAAAAAGGATGCCCTAGGCAAGAGGGGCATTGCTGACTCAAAAAATAGTTGCCATCTAGAAAAGTGACACTTCAAAGGGGTGGATCATGGATGCCTAACTGACAGTCTATCATTCTCTTTTACCCAAACTGTGGTAAACAATTGACCCCAGTTTCATTATCTCTTGCTTGTATTTTTTAAAATTTTATGTTAACTTCGTTATACTTGCATGTCCCTCAATGAAAGTCAATTTGTACACCAAAATACATTTCCAATTCCATCCTGGATGTGGGGGTTCCAAAGCTAGAGCATAGCAGAAGAGTGAAGAATGTTAATCTTGGCAAAAATGGGTAGCCAGAATTTTGTATAAATGATATGCACCTAGATGCAGATACTCTTGGTCTTGTCCCTTTGCTCTAACTTAGGAAGTGGAACAACACTCACTCGTCATAATATTCCAACCCCAGAACTCCTCTGTTCTTCACAATGTGAAATTCTTCTGGAATCAGAGTGTCGGCTATGCTTGCTGGCTAAAAAGAAAACAGAAAAGATGCCACTTCAGGAGCTGGTAGAATGGCATACTGAATCCATACATTCCCAAGGGGAAATTTCTATTTGTATTGAAGTACAAACACACATCACACAAACCTTTGTTTAATGCCATTCCTTACCTATGGAAAGTTAAAATCTCTAAACATACAAGTCAATTTTTCATTCAGTTTCCTAACCTAGGCCCTCCATAAAGCAAAGGTCCTCAATCTTTTTTGTAATGTGGACTGGCGGAGCCTCTGAGGGAGCCCTCACCCTCACGCTCTCCGACACACACGCAAAGTGGTTGGGGAGCGTTCCCTCACTGCTTCGTGCATGCGCAGGAGTGCCTGCCCACCCGCGCGCCCACCCTCTCTTCCATCTCCCCCAGGAAGCAAGTCATTCCTCTTACCATCTTCTCGCTGCCCCGGTGGAAGGTGTCACCTTGCACGTGCGCAAAGTAACTGTGGGGAGGGCAGTGCGTGCAGGGGGGCAGGGGGGGAGGTCTGTCTTTGTGGGCCGGTCGGGCTCAAGCCACGGACCGTCAATGGGCTGCGGACCGGGGGTTGATGACCTCTGCCATAAAGGATATACAGTGGTGCCTCGCATAGCGAGGTTAATCCGTTCCAGATCAACCTTCGCTATGCTGAAGCATCGTTGAACGGGGCAGGGAATTCCATTGGCACGCATTAAACATGGTTTAATGCGTTCCAAATGGGCCGAATACTCCCCGTTCAGCGATGCTTCTTAATGGCCGGCAGCCATTTTCGCGCCCTCGCCTCGCTTAACGAGGGCACGAAAACGCTGCGCGCGGCCATTTCCGGGCTTCCGGCGGCCATTTTGGCCGCCGAACAGCTGATCATCGGGCTTCGTTTTGCGAAGATCGGTAAGCGAAATGCTTACCGGTCTTCGCAAAGCGAATTTTGCCCTATTAGAAAAACGTTGAGTGATCGCATTAGCGATGCGAAAAAACGGATCGCTATGCAATTTCGTCGTTATACGGTGCGCTCGTTAAGCGAGGCACCACTGCACAAGGAATTCAATTCTTTTAAAAAAAACCTCAGGTTTATGAATGTGGGATATTATGCTTCTGTACCCACAATTCAAAAAGCCAGAAAATGGCCCAATTTTGCTGCAAAATATTGTGCCTGTGTTGCCAGCAGGAAAAAGCCTGCCAGGCTTTCCATAGTAAAGGGCAGCCTGAATGCTGACAACACCAATGGCAACAGTCAAGATGGTTTATAGGATACTCTCTTCTGCTCACTCCCATTCACACTTGTTGAAAAACAGTCATGTGTTTGGGTGAGAAGTGGTTACTGATGAAAAAAGGAGTCAGCTTCTGGGATTTTCCCTTGCTTGGTGTCATTTTCTGAATGACAATGGTGCTGGAGGACTCCTGTTCAACACCTTGACCATTAGCCTGTGGAGTGTCTCAGGGCTCCAAGATTCCCCATACTATTTCACATATACATGAAATCCTGAAAGAGGCTGTCCAGAATTTGGTGGTCTGGTACCACCAGTGTACTTCTAATTCCCAACTCCATCTGCTTTTTAAGATCTTCCAGGAGACCCTTCTCTCAGTCTCTCAGTCTCTCAGTCCGCAGTCTGTGGTCATGTAAAGCTTGGCATCCTTTTTCCTGCTGGCAACAGGAATTTTGCAGGAAGTGATTAAGCAGAATAAATCATGTAATCCAAATGGACTGGTGGCAGTGAATGTGGAGGAATGTAAAAGGCATACCATGCTGGGACAGAAAGGAGCCAGTCAGGCATGTGCAGAAAGGCTAAGAGACCTAAGCGCACATATTGCCACAAGCACTATCTCTAAGTAGGGCTACTCTGTGTGGCTTAGATATTAGTGAGTAAATTGTTATAGATTTCTTTTCTCAACAAAGTAAAATGAACAGATACTTGTGCAGGCCACCTGAGATTCCTTCTGGTGTTGGTTAGAAGAACAAGCTAGCTCAGGATTTAAAATATTATTATTTGCTTCATTGCAACACCTAATATCTTAATGGTCAATTCTGATTACAGGTTAAAGTAAAGGAAGTAAATGTATATTTCTTCTTGTTACACTATTGTTGCTGGTTTGATTGACTTCAATACTAGAGAACTCCCTGGGCAGTTGACAACATCATCATGCAAACAACACCTTGCCCCCAAGTGAGCTGGGTACTCATTGTCCCTCCAACCATCCATTTCTTTCAGTGCTGTATACTTGAGACATCAGATATGCAAATAAATGCATATTATCTCCTGCTTGTCCAATTACCAGACAAAAACAGGCTAATTTGCTGAAGGCAGACTGAGACAGGCTGGTGTTGACATAAACAGACATCCTTTTTTTTCTTAAGAGAGCTCTCCTTTCAATGTTATAATTACTCCAACTTTCTTCAGTGTTTTGAAAGAAATGGTAAAAGTACCGTATTTTTCGCTCCATAAGATGCACCTCTCCACAAGACGCACCAAATTTTTAGGAGAAGAAAACAGGAAAAAACTATTTTTTTTTCTTCTCCTAAAAATTGGTGAGCCTTCTGGAGAGGTCCATCTTATGAAACACACCCTAGGACCCTTTGGAGGCTCACCCTGCCACCCCGGGGGTCAGAAGGGGTGAAATCGCCAGCTTCTGGGACTCTTCTGAAGATTCCCAAGCCTCAAAAGAGTCCCAGAAGGTGGCAATTTTGCCCCCTCTGGCCCGGTGGGGAGGGGGGAAGGGTGAGCTTCCAAAGGGTCCTAGGGTGTGTTCCAGGACCCTTTAGAGACTCACCCTGCCCCCCAGGGGTCAGAGGGGGCAAAATTGCGAGCTTCTGGGACTCTTCTGAAGCTTCCCAAGCCTCAA